AATTTTATTAAAGAATGTAGTCAGTAAACTGTAATCCACCCCTTGTTCTAGTGTGAATTTTATTAAAGAATGTAGTCAGTAAACTGTAATCCACCCCTTGTTCTAGTGTGAATTTTATTAAAGAATGTAGTCAGTAAACTGTACTCCACCCCTTGTTCTAGTGTGAATTTTATTAAAGAATGTAGTCTATAAACCATAATCTACCTCACTGTTCAGCTAATTCAAATGTTTGACAAAAAAATGGACATAATATTTGTTACTCTCTAGAAAGATGTCATCCATATATTAAACCACTAAATTAGAGGTAAAAATATATATTTATGTTTGTGCTTGTATACTTTCATAAAATATCAGGTAAAACCATTATGTTCTTTTTGCAAGTAATAATTTGTACCTAATTATTGCAGTTAAACTTATTACTAATTTGAATAATTGTATATTAAAAACTAATAGTTTGTAACTAAATGCAAAGCTACACAATGGTCTATCGACACTTTGCTCACCAGGGGTATAGAACCTTGATTTTTTTTTTGTGTGTATAGTCCCTCAAACTTACTCCTGAGCCACTGGAAGCACAACTTCAATAGAAGATGTCATTAAGTTCTGATTTTACATCTCATAATTTTACAGTTTGTTCAAGGATTATTTTCTGGTAGTATCGGCTAACACCAAACCCAGCAAATAAGATTAAAAAATATACAAACGTTGTAGGCTGATTATCTTGGTGAAGGCTGACAAGATGGAAACAAATGGTACAAGTCTGTCAGTTAATTTGATGCAATATGGATTGTAAGGTTAAGGATTGCAGGAAGGTTGCAATATTCTTCAGTACCTTGAGTACTTTGTGTTTATTTTCATCTTCTATCTACTGGTCTGAAAATCTGGTACATTTCATGAAAAGCAAAATTTCTTTTATTTCAATTTGATTAAGAATTGTTTTTCTACCCATCGAAAACAAGTTGTCTTAATAGTTTAAAATATGATTTAAAAAAAGCATTGTACTGTTTAATAAATGATTACTTCAAACTATGATAATAAGAAAGTTATTATAGAAATACTAGGTAATTATTTTTGCAACCGAGGAAGAAAACATATGAACTGAAAGCTGTTTACTTTCAAGTACTGTAGAACTTTCGTGTTCCAACAGAGGATGGCGTATTGCAATTGGTGAAGTAATATTAACCTTTTTTGTACCCCAAATTTAATTTAGCTAAACAAAAATTATTATGATAGAACAGATGGTATGGAGTTAAAGAAAATCTAAGTTCTTTGTAAAGATAAAATTGTAAAGGAACTATAAAACGTATATATATAATATATATTTTCTTTTTTACTAGAATGAATGCCAAACTACTTGAATCGTTGACAAACAAAAGAAATATTGACTATTTTGCTTCTTAAACCTTTCTTAGGATAAATCCAGTTGAATTATTACTTTATGTATGTTAACATTTTAAATTAAGAAAAATGAATGTAATTATGAATCAAGAGGTATAACACACTGGTGACTTCTTCGTGGGTGGCGATGTTGATCTTGAATGAAATATGTATATATGACGACCGTTAAAGAAGAGATTAGTAGTATGTTGTCCACATGTAACCTGAATGTTTGCAGTAACTTCTCTTACTTGTTTTAATTACGAGTTTTTGTGGAATTGTTTTCATGAATTATTTTCTAAACATTTCTTAGTGTTATTAAGAATATTCTTAAGTCATAAGATCTCATTGTTGTTAACAAATTAGTAAAATATAGAAAAGGTTTAGTTAATGTATGATTCAAAATCAAAAAACTCTATACCACCACCTTCACAGGATCAGACTTCCAGTACAGCTACTACCACTAGGTCTCCTGATGCTAGACCTTGTATCATTCCCTTAATCTTAAATCATGCCTCAGAAAATAGGCTTTCTGAGAATGACGATACTATTCCGTTGTTGGGTAGTTATCCTAGTAGCCCCACATCATCCTCTGTAAGTCCTTCTTACATCACTAATATCACCATTGTCCCTGTTTCTGGTTCATGTGAAGAAAAGTGTTCGTTTACTGAAAACCTCATTCCTAAAGTCGTAATCTCAACCCCTGAAGAAAGTGAGATTCCCCAGCAGTCGCATGAACAAAAAAGCCCCCATTGTGGTACAAGGCCTAAACCCCAAGATAATGCTTGCAACCAGGTAACTTCTGCTGGGGCAGAGCAAGGCGGATCTGACTCTGAGGAAGACGGGACACAAACTAAAGTGCTCACTGTAAGTGGCGTGGTCTGTCCATCTCTAACATGGGAAAGTTTCATCACTAACATTTTGCCTGTGTCTCTGCTACTAACCAAGAGCATAGCATCTTGCTGTAACCCTCTTTTATGTAAACAATTTAACCAACTCAATTCTTTAAGCAAAGGAAATAATCTACATTTTTGATACCTGTGTTTTTATTGGTTGTCTGATTGCTATTGTTATCAGAAATTGTTACGATACAGTTTATTTCTTTCCATAAATTAACGGATGTTATCATTCAGTGATCGTTACTTATAGATCTTCTCAGTTCAGTTACATAATTTGTTCAAAATTATCATTAAAATGTGTTTTGAAATGGGCATTCTTTTTCCATATGAAAAAGTTTGTTTATTTAACTGAATATGCTAGGCATAATAAAGATACTTTGTGTATGAATTCTAGTTTCAAATATCAGAAAAGAAGAAACTTTTTATCACTTTAAGTATAGTTTGTGATTAAATGTTGATCTAGGAAAATTGGCATTTGTACTCGTACAACAAAAAGAAAAAGTGGTTAATTTTCTCATACATCATTATTACCAGAAAAAGCACAATATGGTCAAAAGAAATCATTCTGATATCATGACTTATATTTCTATAGTAAGAGACAGTGGGGGCTTTTATTTTCAATATTAGTACCTTTGTTTTACATTAATCGATTTAAATGTTTTTTATCATTCGGACAAGATGATTTATTTTGTGTAAGATGTAGTAACTTATTTCTTAAAAAATAGCTAATATTATGTGAAGAATGATTTAAAATCTATTATTTGAATTATTATTTTTAGGTTCTTGTAGCTTTAAAGTACTTTTATTTGTTGTATAGCAGCTTGGTTTCTTATAAATGAGTTTTATTTATATCGAAATAAATGATCTATAGCTTGAAAGTTGCATGATTTTTGCATTATTTTTATATCCCTTCTTGTCTCTCTGTTTTTCTAGCTGCATGTATTAAATCTAATTAATATCACTAATTGTTTATAAAAACTACTTTTATGATAATTATTTAGTAGTTGATGCAGGACCTGATTAATATTTAAGAATATTTTTTTTAATTTGCTTTGGTTGAACACCATGATATAATTTTATGTGTACTTGCTGTTTATCGTACAAGTGACTTTTTTGTTTACTCGGTGTTTATCGTACAAGTGACATTTTTGTTTACTCGGTGTTTATCGTACAAGTGACATTTTTGTTTACTCGGTGTTTATCGTACAAGTGACATTTTTGTTTACTCTGTGTTTATCGCACAAGTGACATTTTTGTTTACTCGGTGTTTATCGTACAAGTGACATTTTTGTTTACTCGGTGTTTATCGTACAAGTGACATTTTTGTTTACTCGGTGTTTATCGTACAAGTGAAAGAACAACAGGATTTATACACAGAAATTGTAGCTGATTTAGATAAGACTAATGATGATAATGAAATATTTTAGGTATTTCTAAGCTCTTTTTCTTTTGCTGGTTATCTAATACAAGTATGTCCAAATATGAACTTTATTGAAAATGAGAAAGTAGACAAAGTTTAATGATGTCAATTCAAAGAATGAGGGAAACTGAAGACACTTTTTAAAACGGATTCTGTGAATTACCCGTTTAAATAGTTTTATGTTTAGTTCACAGCCTTAGACCAGTTGATGTTTTCAAGATGTTATAAATTTGATGGTTCGTATTGATTGTAGATATTGACATGGTGATATAGTTTTGGTTTATTGGTATTGAGGTATTCAAACAAACTATCATTATTTAATTACATTGTATGAAAGGCAACAGCTTACCAACTGTGACTGTAATGTAACAGTTGAATGCTATTAGCTTACCAACTATGACTGTAATGTAACAGTTGAATGCTATTAGCTTACCAACTATGACTGTATTATAACAGTTGAATGCTATTAGCTTACTAACTATGACTGTATTATAACAGTTGAATGCTATTAGCTTACCAACTGTGACTGTAATATAACAGTTGAATGCTATTAGCTTACTAACTATGACTGTAATATAACAGTTGAATGCTATTAATTACCGGAATTCAGTGAAGTTTATTTTGTTGGATTCAGATAGATTTGAGACTTTAATTTTCAATATCAGTAAAAAAAAAAAAGAAGCATTATTAGATTGTAGACTTTTACTGC